GTTAAACCAATTCCGAGCTGTGCAAGGTCAAATTCAAAAAATTTCTGCAGAAATTGCAGGAAACTCAGACAATGAAGCCTCAACCATTGTGGTAAATGAAAATGATCTTTCACTAAAAAGACTTGAGGAGTATCAGAATGAGTTGCAAAGACTTTACAATGAGAAGGTACCTAGTAGCAGTTTATGTTTTTTACCCCATCATTAAGGGGGGCTTACTCTTCAAACTTGTAACATCTTCATAATATTTCTTGTGATTTCATTTGAAGAATGAAAGACTCCAGCAAGTGGAGAAATACATTGACATAATACACAGCTTGTCCACGATCTTGGGAAAGGATTCTTCTGCAATCATTATGGAAGTTCATCCAAGCTTAAATGATTTGTGTGGAATAACAAAAAATATAAGTGACACCATCCTAGATAAACTCAATATCACAGTAGAGTCCCTTTTCGAAGAAAAGCAAAATCGGCTGGACAAGGTAAACTACTTCTGTTGTCCTTTTGGTCTATATAAAATTTGTTAAATTTGAAAACCTTGTCAAAACACACTTTCTGTATTTTCTGATATCCCAGATATTAAAGGAACTTAAAAACGTCTGTTAGCTCTAATAAATATTTAAAAAGTGGCATAATTTTTTTAATAAAATATAAAATAAAATAAGACATCTAAGATAATATATATATATATATATATTTGTCTTTAAACTTGTGTCAACTTTTCATTTTAATCTCTGTACCTAAAAAATCAACATTTTAGTAGGGATGTTCATGCATTAAATTGATTTAGATTTGGACGAAAATCCAATTCGAAATAATTTAATTTAATTGGTTTGTATTGATTTTGATTTCATAATTTTTTTTTGTTTAACTTGAATCAAATCAATCCAATGTTAATTGGATTGGTTGTCATCGAATATCTAATAAATTTTTTTAAAAAAATTAAATTAAGAAAATAATTTTTTTACAAAGTAAATAAATTTTCTAACATTAACTAAATTAATATATTGTCAAAAATTAACTAAATTGATACATTTGTAATATAGTTCTTCATTTTTTTTCTTAATCTACTTAAAGATTTCAAATGCACTGATGTGTAAAAATGACACTCAATATATTAAAATATAGTTCTTGATTTTTTTAAGTATTTGAAAAAACGGAATAAAAATATCTACATATTGTAACACAAAAACATCTTCAAAATAATACATACATATCAATTATTAACCAAATAAAAAATAATAATATATAAATTAATTGGTTTAGTTCAAATTAGATCATATTTTAAATATGCAAATCCAATACCCAAACTAACCAACATCAAATTTAATTAGGTTAGTTTGGGTTAGACTCACAAAAAAAATCAAACTAATTTAATTGGTTCGATTCAATTGTCAGATTCATTAAATTAATCCAATCTAAGGAATGCCCTTACATTTTAGTTCCTATACGAACATTCTTTTGTTTATCTTTATACCTCTATTTTTGACAATTTTTCACTGCAGAAAACTAATAAAAACTAAAACATTAAAAAGTTATTTATATAGAGACTAGAATATAGAGTTTTTTTTAGGTATAGAGATTAAAATGAAAAGTTGGTTCAAGTACAAGACCAAAGATTAATTAAACCTTTTATATATTATGGGATTACTAAGCTGTTTGGGAGGATTTCAAAATAAATGCTCCAGGAAACTTCAAGTATTGAATTTTCCCACCTTTTATGCTTTCCATTTTACGAATTAGTCATATTCTTCACATATTTTGCAGCTTCACCATTTAGGCAAAGCACTGTCTAATCTATGGAATCTTATGGACACACCATACAGTGAACGGCAATCTTTCTCCCATGTAATCAATTTGTTGTCACTCTCATCTGCAGAAGTCACAGATCCTGGAAGTCTTACTCTAGAAATAGTCCAGCAGGTAGGTATCTAACTTAATGATCCACAAAATATCATAAACTCAGATATTTAAAAAAATCCACAACTTTTTACAAGACTGAGGCTGAAGTAAAGAGACTGGATCAACTAAAAGCAAGCAAGATGAAGGAGCTATTCCAGAAGAAGCAGGAGGAACTTGAATTGATATGCAAGAAATCACATGTAGAGATCCCTTCAAGGGAAGAGATGAACAATATAATTAACCTCATAAACTCAGGTGAATATAAGTATCTAACTAATGTGTGTATATTCCATTTCAAAGTATGTACGTATACTAGCTTTAAGAAGAAAAAAAAAAAAAAAAAAAAAAAAAAAAAAAAAAAAAAGCCTAGAAACTGACTTACATGTACAACAGGGGAGATTGACCATTCCGATCTCCTCCTGAGCATGGATGAACAGATATCAAGAGCAAAAGAAGAGGCTTCTAGCAGGAAGGCTATCATGGAGAAAGTGGAGAAGTGGATGTTAGCACGTGATGAGGAGCGCTGGCTAGAAGAATATAGCATGGTAAGAATTTTCGTTTGAATCAATCATTATAAATAGGTTTAAACTTTGAAGGGTGACTATCTATTGTATTGTATGTTTCACAAATCACAATCCAAGTGTACTATCAGGATGAAAATCGATACTCAGTCAGTAGAGGAGCTCACAAAAACTTAAGACGTGCTGAACGTGCCCGTATAATGGTCAGCAGAATGCCAGGTAAATTTATATATGATAAAAACAAATAATTTGGACCAACTGGGGCAGCAAACCACAAACATACATGTGCTTACAAACAATGGTTGCTATTTCCAGCTTTGGTAGATTTGCTAATAAAAATGACTAGGAGTTGGGAAGAAGAAAGAAATAAAGTTTTCTTGTATGATCAGGTAAGACATCCTACGCTCTACAACACTTGGAATTCAGTATAATTGATATAGTAGAAAGTATGTGTAAAAAAAAAGCCTACAAGAATTCAAAAAACGGTCTAACAAATCCTTAAAAGGGAATAAGTGGGATTTTAAAAATTCAGAAAACGTCCAGCATATTAAGAGAGGCCAGATAAGTATTGTACAAAGATTCCCATCCTTGAAGTGATTGACCTAGACCTAGTTAATGTCATAGGTAACTGATTGATATCAAATATGAAAGTGAAGAAAACTTGTATGTGCTTTCTGTGAACAGTTTGCTGTCACCAGATAATCATGTCATTTGACATCAATGCTTGAACATTACTTTTAGCATATTGATGCACATGGGAAAAACAGATTCACAACCAACACCTCTTCGCTCAACCACTATGCAATAAATATTTTGGCACAGTATACATTGAGAAGTAATGCCATAAACGATCCATACATGATTTTTCAAGAAATACGGTAACACATTTACACCTCAGCACCATGCAAAAAGATGATAAGAACTTACAAGAATTCCAAGAGGCAAATCATGTTATGCATTCTAGCTTTATTTATGTTGACATCGAATGGTTTCAGAAGTCTTACCATGTCACATTATGTACGTTTTCCTAATTCACCTTTAATAGTACAGTACTGTGGTTTGTAAAATTGATAACAGCAAGCGGAAATGATATCTACATAGGTACCTCTAATGGCCATATTGGAAGAATATAACATACTAAGGCAGGAAAAGGAGGAGGATGCAAAAAGACAGCAGGTGAGTATTTGACAGTACAATGACAACTTCAAATATCAGTTTGAAGCAAACATTAAACTGTAGTTCACATTAAGTTTTTTGTGAAAAGACTCTTGCCATGTGACTTGCTATTCTCTCTAATAACCTTAACCTTATTCTTACCTCACTTCTTATGTTTGGTTTTCAGCCGTGGGAAAAAAAGAGGATTCAAAGGCAAGTAGTTGAGCGAGATAATACTTATGTGTCAAGACCCGGCACCAGCAGTAGGCGTCTTCCAAGTAGAAGCTTGAATGGAGCTCTAGACAGTTCTGTGTCGCTGAACAGAAGGCTTTCTATGGGTATGCAACAGCTGGGATCAAACAGCATAAATTCAGGAAATCACAGCATGTCCTTCATCAAGGATGGAAGGAATGCGTTAAGAAAAAAGATTTTCATCGAACCTGTCTTCACTTCTCATACAAGAGATGAAGCATCTTCTGCTGTGTCAACACATTCTGCACCATTTTCCCCTTAAATTTCTTTAACAGAAACTTAGATTTTGACTGAAATTGCTTCAGAAAGCTTGCTTTCCAAGAAAAAAAATTGTTGTGAACCTGCAAAAGAATAAGCATAGGGATTTTTATGTACTTATGTTCCCGCACTTAAGTTGCCCCCCATTGGATGAGCTCGTGCTTGATGTCAACTGCCAACAATTAAGTTCTTGACTCGTTGTTTTATTTGCAATTTAGCATGATATGGTGCTCTTGTTTGTCCCCGTTAAAAGAAAGACCATTTTGCTGGTTGTTGGATTTGAGTAAGATGGCCCAAATTTGATATCAACCAGAAAAACAATTTCATGAGTTACAAAAAAATAACAGGGAGATACACATCAAAAGAGAAATTGAATAGGGTATTGTTTAGTTATATGTCCCCATAAACACTTGCAAGAAGAAGAAAAAAAGTTGTTCCAGTATAGAAAACTCATTAGATAAGAACTACAAAAGTGAATTAAACTTCCTATATAAGTTAAAATCAATTAAACTTCTACAGAAATTAATTGTTTAAGTTTAATGATATTTTAATCCATGGGAGAAGTTCAATTCAGTTCATTTTCTTATAGCGAAGTTTATTCAAACACACCTGAAACTAAAAACATGGACAAAACAATGTTCATATTCCAATTTCCCATTTCAGTGCGAGGATCAAAAGATGCATATCTTGATCTAGATGTACTATAATCACATAAAACTAATCTCAGAAATTTTAAATTATTATATAATATTTGTCAACTTCAAATGTGCAAACCTAAGCTAACTTACCAACAAACAATCAAAATCAAAGACCGGAGTTCGATCTTGATCATGAAAACCTGATGATAATTATCACTTTACTCCTACACTAATTATTTTAAAAAAATAAAATGAAGTATCCATGGAGTAAAAACCATAACAGAATAAGCTAATGCATTGTTAATTGTTATATTTGATTAATTCAAGATACAAATCTCAATTGCGATGTATAAACAATCAAACCAACAAACACAACCTAAGACTCATCTACGGGTATAGGTGATTGGGCTTGGGCCTCGGCCTGGGCCGGGTTTTCCGGTTCTGGCTTTCGGAAGAATTGATCGATGCGGCGAGTACCAGGCAGAGGTTTATCGGATTTGGGCCGAGCCGCGGGCGTAGTGTGCTTATCGGGCTTATTGGGCTGAGAAGGCGGCGGAAGATCGTCGAGGAGGAAATCCCTGGTTGGTTGGTGTCTCTTAACGGCCACTCTTATGTGTTCGAGATTCACGGTCTTGCGTTTCTTCTCGATTGCGACCTGCGCCGATTTTTCCGCCAGAAACTGGAGGAATAATTCGGTGGAGCGCGACACCAGGAACAACGCTTCAGAGCTCACTCTCTTAACGTCCTTGTCCAGCGTCATTATCTTCTTCACCCGACCCTTCGGAAATTCGGATACGGTCGATGCTGCGTTCTCTTCTTCCTCCGCCATGATAACCATTGCGATGCGATTCTCTTTTCCTCTTTTTGTAGTTACGTAGGGTTTTCAAATTGGCGGGAACGGGAAAAGACCAGGGGCGTTTTCGTCATATTACTAGGGTGACCTTTCCCGCCATTTGTACGATAAAAAAACGTGAAATGGGCCGTAGTGAGCAGTGGAAATGACAGTGGGCTTTGAACTTTTAGCCCAGGCCCAGTTCAAGTCTTTCTCCTTCCTTCCTTGTGCATAGTTAAGTGGAGTGGTTCCACGGCAATTGCAGAGTCACGCGTTTAACATTTCGCGATCAGAGAAGGAAATGGAGTTTTCTCAAGAAGATTTTGATCGCTTACTGTTATTCGAGCACACGCGAAAGACCGCTGAAGCAAAGTACGCTGAAAACCCTCTCGACGCCGATGTACGTATCGTTCTTCATTATACCCTAATTAACCCTTCTTCGTTAACACTCACGCCTATGAGTTATAGTTACTTTCCTCACACGTCTGTTGTTCCGCAATTTGTGAAGGTTTTTGTTACAAGTCCCGTAATGCATGAAATTGTTGTTAATCATATTATTTTTCTGTTATTAGCCTTTGGTAATTGGTACATTACATGGAAAATTGAATTGGAGACGTTGTTTCTTGGAGTTGTGTGTTTTATGACATTGTATTTGTTGTTTAGAAAATGGATTAGGTTTTCATTTCAAGTGTGTCTCAACATATCTATATCTATATATATTCATACAGAATCTGACCAAATGGGGAGGAGCTTTGATCGAGTTGTCCGCATTCCAAAACCCTAGGGATTCCAAGACAATGATTGATGGTATATCACGTGTTAAATAGAGCAAAATTTAAGAGTGAATTTCTGTTTTCGCCTGAAGGGGAGGGCGAGATAATGTGATTGATAGTTTTGGGTTTTGGTGGGAAATAACGAACTAAACAGATGCCATTTCGAAGCTGGAGGAGGCTTTGTTGCTGAATCCAACGAAGCATGACACTCTTTGGTGCTTGGGAAATGGGCACACGTCTTACGCGTTTCTAACGCCTGATACAGCCGAGGCAAAGGGTTATTTTGACAAGGCGCATGAGTATTTTCAGAAAGCTGTAGATGAGGTAATTTTTTGCTCCTTTCGTTCCTCTTCATGTATTCTTACTAGTTGTGCCTGTAAATCTACGGCTTACTTAGTGGTGGATTATGAATTTGTAGGATCCTGGGAATGAGCTCTATACAAAATCCTTGGAAGTTGCTGTGAAGGTAATGGAATTACTATGACCATTGTATCAATATTATTTGTACACTTGGTTCTATTTTCATGTTCATAATTTTGCTATAAATAGATCAAACCAGCTAAAACTGCCCTTTCTACATGGTTTTTGGCTGCAAAGTGTTTGTGTTTTCATAGTTGATGGGAACACAACTTGCTGGGTATATGTTAGTGTAAACTAGTTCACTATCAGTGTTAGTGTTTCTGCTGTTTATTACAGGGTCCTAATTACGAGATTTTAATGTTTATATTGACTGATTTATACTCTGTTGTTTAGGATTCAGCAAGTCTTATGGATGACTGAAACAAAATAAATTATTTGGCATGTTTGCTCTCTAAATCTTAACGCTCACTATAACAGAAATTTCAGGTTAACTAGTATAAGTATTAAAGCAATCAAAATTGGATAGGAGACACCTAATGTTCTTTATGACTTGGTGTGGATCAAAGCATAATATATAGTTTTGTGTAGTGCGTTGAACACTCACTTGTGTTTCTTAATTCTTATCATTAAAAACTGATTTAAAAAATAAGAAACAATAATAATAAAATTTGATTGTTTTCTTAAAATAAGAACCAAAGAAACAGAGAGGAAAGGAGAAATTGTGTTCAGAGGTATGTTGCATACATGTCAAAACAACTAAGAGAAAGAAAATCCATGCAGAAGAAAATCAAAACAAAATAATAAGCATTAATGTGGCAAACTACAAATTTGAATAGAAAAGGCACAATGCAGGGAAACAAAATAAGCATTATACTGCAGAGTTCAGAGCTTCACATCAGATATGTGGACAAAATTGATCATTGCTTTGGCCTTTAAAAAACCAACGAGCAGAGAAGGGGGTTTTCTTCAAAGAGGGGACATTGGGAAAGGCATCTGAACAAGAGTGGAAAAAATAAGTTAGAGAGGTTTAGATAGTAGAGAGAAGGACACTCGGTAATCCTGATCTGTGGTCTTTGGCTTTGGTGCAAAAGAGAGGTAAGTTTTCTCATTTTCTCTAGAGTTATTTGCTGCCTAGTCGTATGAGAATGTAATTTCATTGATAGGGTATGATCTAGCTAGCCAGATGTATTTTGTTGTGACCCCATGAACCGTTAAATGTGCTTTCAACCTTTGTAGTTGTAGATCATTTATCAACCATTCTTGCCAAGCCCTAAGCCTGTAACCTCGTTCCTCATGCTCTGCAGTTCAACTTTAAGTTGTGAACCACTACTCTTCCAGACCTACACCACTATATACTTTCAAGCATTGAATTTCTATTCCATTGTCATCCTCAAACGGTCCCTCATCCAAATGTCTTTTATGTTATTTATTCTTATTTATCTATTTTTGTGCCAATGTATGAATAGCTTTAAGATTGGAGCACATTTAAATTGTGGGATCTGGGTAGTATGAGTTGTCAAATGAAATATGCGGTTTTAATCTTTGGACTTAACTTCACGTGTACTTAATGGGCCAATATTGTCTAATATATCAGTTTTTCTTTTATTTATTATTCATTTTGTTTTGGTCACAGGATTTCTCTGAGACTTAAAGTTTTTAGTTAGGTATATGATCATTCAAAATTGCAGTAGAAAAAATGAATATTATATATGTTTATGATAAAAACAAACAAACAAATAAATCAAACTACGAAAAACACACACACACACAAGACAAACCAAAACTATTTTATTTTTTTAATTTGGTTGCTGGTATGACTACTTGATTGTTTTAAAACTTATCATTATTTAATGTTACCTTTACTTTGTTTATTGAAAATGTACTTGAATTATTGAAATGTTTTCTTAATTGGTGATCTTGGACTGAAAAAAAATAGGTGCTAAAAATTATGTAATATAATTAAGTGGTTAGCTAGGCTGTGATAAGACTGCTAGTTATTTTTATGATATTTGTAAAGGGTCATTTGAGCCATGAAAGATTGGTGATCCATAATTTTCATAAGAATTTTATATTGATGTCAAATTTAAAAATGTTAAAAATTAATTTGTTTGAATAAAAAAGATTAGCTGAGATGCAATAGCTTGTGAATTTTGTTTTATTTATTAAGGGTTTCCTGAATTGTGATAACTGTGATTCAAAATTTTTTAATTCAATCAAATGTACTTGTTTTCAATTTATTAAAATTATAACTAATTCACCCATAATCATTTTTAGAGAACAACGCAGCTATGAATTCTTACTTTTGGTGATATGTAGGTGCAGGAATTTTGCTTTCCTTGCAAATAAATAATTGTGTTGATTTTATTTTTAAAGGGAAAACAAATATTTTTAACTTTATTAATAATTTGTATATTTAAATTTAGGGTAAACATTTTAAAATGGGGATATATTACGCGTGCAATTTTATATTGTTTTTCATTATTCCTTGTGCATAACTAGAATTTTTAACTTAATATCTATTTTCAGAGGCTAGTTTTTAATATATATATATATATTCTAAAATAAAAATTGATTGCAACTCCATTTATTTTTTTAATAAATCTTTAGTTACTTATTGTGGAGATGCCTTCAAGTAAGTAGTAGATTAAGTTGTGTTTTCTGGTTGATGGTAAAACATTGTTTTTGTGATTTCATAACCTTTATTCACTTGCCTGATAAATAAGTCTTAATGGTACTGCAACTTTAGTATTCTTTACATAAACAAATTTAAATTATTTCCATAGTGCAACTGCTTTCTTGATTCATTATATTTCTGTTAACAATTGTTCACCGTTGTATCTTTTCTACTCTGATGAGTTGCTGTGAACATGCCTCATAGGCCCCTGAACTACACATGGAGATCCATAAAAATGGGCTTGGCCAGATGAATAGCACCGGATTCTCCGCCACTTCAAAAGGAAAGGTTGTATTAATCGAAATTTCATTGCATTTAATTAAATTCTTGTCATATTTGCACAATCACTGATTAGTGACTTTAAATCAACTTCAACCGGCTGCTTTGTCAAGTTTATGGAAGTGGCATCTTGATAACTTAAAATGCACAAAGCAGCTCAAATGGAGTTCTTGTCCTGTGGATAAAGCCTTGTTAAGAAGTTAGAACCATTATGTCTTAATTTTTGGGGTACAAGGCTTCTAATTTAGGCAAGTCATTAGAACTTGCATCATGAACAAAATTTTCCATTTGAAGTAATGCAAACAACACACCACCATGTATATTAGAAAAGTCTTTCTTACCTTTTTGTTAGGAAATAGGAATAGCACTTGACTCGTTTTGAGTTATGTTGGAGTTAGATGCATGTTGATACTTCTACGCTTTTGCTAATAGTTTACGTGCGGATGCACCCTGTCTATCTTGTCTGTGATATTTCTTGATCTTTCTATCTGTATTGCTTGTTTGCCTTTTTTTGTTAATTGTAGATATAATTTAATTTAATCTAAATAAGGAATTGGAAAACATTTTCCAGAATTGATGTCAGTTTAAATAGATATGGTAATTTATTTGTATTGCATTGTTTCTCTGTTTGTTTGTCATATATTTATTTACTGGCCACAGGTCTGTCAAAGTACTGCCACACTATGGTTGGCCTCTTGGCTGCCTATAGTACGATAGAAAATTTTGAGTTTTGTATAGCTAACTAGGGTGGTGTTGGTCAGCTTTGTGTTCCGAGATAATTACTCTTTTGTTACTCAGATCCTAAGTACTAAATGTTGAAGATGTAGATAACAAGCTTTGGGTCCCTTGAACTGCTCCTCTTCTATTCTAGCTTGCCATATTTTTTCTAAATAATGAAAGTAACCGTGTGGGATAAAATTGTTTCTCGTGATTATTTTGTATTTACAATCTAAAATGAAGAATATTATTATTATTATTATTATTTATAATTGATGCATGTCTGCTTTAGTCTGTTTATAGAAGCTTGTTTGGCTCGTTTCAGGAATCTAAAAGGCAGAAGAGCAATGACCTGAAGTATGACATATTTGGATGGATTATTCTTGCAGTGGGTATAGTAGCATGGGTGGGAATGGCCAAATCTAACATTCCCCCGCCACCTCCAAGATAAACATTGTTTCTCTAATGTCTCATTACCAAAGTAATTCGTTATAGGTTATTCACTTTAGATTGGAACTTGTGAACTTCTATTGTTACATTTGCGGGGTTTACATACTGACTTCATTCATCATTTATGCCTTTCTTTACCGTTAAAAAGGTTGGTTTATAATAATTAACTTTTTTAACATATGTCGTTAACTTGTCGTAGTCTTATTATTGGTTTATTATTTTCCGTCTTTTTAACCTCTTGTTATGAGCCACTCTTAAAGCCTTAGAGCATCTACAATGGGAGTTGCTTATAAGCAACTTCCAATCACTTTAAATGGGTCTTACTGTGCCACGTCACTCATAAGCAACTCATACTATATTTTTATAATTTTTGCTCCAATAGAAATTGCTTATAAGCACTCCTACTTTTTACAACTTATACTACACTTTTTGACACCTCACACTACATTTTATAAAATTTGGTACAGTTAATAAGAGCTAAGCAACGTTGCTTGCTGAAGTTCCGTTGCTAAAAAATAAGCAACTTTCTATGCCAGCTAGGACTACTCCAATGGGAAGTGCTTCTAAGCACTGGAGTTTATTTTTAAGGGACAGCATAAGCACCTCCCGTTGGACGTGCTCTTAGTGGACGGAGGATATGCAGTAGGGTAGTAATTATAGTTTGCTACAAAATTCCGAAATTGTAGGTTATCACCAATAAAAAGAGAAGCGTGTAATGACGCTAGTCTTGTTTTCATTTTATCGTCTCTTCCTTTTTTATATATATCCAGAGGTTGAGAGGTACCTTTTATCATTTGGAGTTTTAATTTAAAGAATGAGCATAGTTGCGATTTACTGGTGATTATGGTAATACAATCCGAAACCTTTACACGGTTCAATTTTTCTTCTCCAATCATGCAACCCTGGTATGGGTTTCAAAAGTATCCATAACTCTACATAATTTATTTTATTAAATTTGCTTGATATATTTCTTTTACACTTCACAAAAGGTTGAAACTTTACATAAAATAGTATATGAAAGTGCATTAATATAATGTATAAACAATTACATTAGTGAATATTTGCATCTTACAAAGTTAAAATGTTTAAATATGTTTGTAGCTGTGATAGATTTTTTTTTATCTCTTAATTGAAAATTGGTTTTTTTTTTCTATTCTTATTATTTGTTTAACCTTATTCTTATTATTTTTCCTAAACACTATTAATAAGTTTGTCACATAAAATTTACCACCTACTGAGTTTGTCATGCAAAAAAGTCACTTATTAGTATTATCAGAGTTCATATTAGTGAAACACATGCATAACTTCCCCAATTTGTTGTTACAGTGGGTCAAAGAGAATAAAATAATTAATAAAAATATTCATTTTAAATTTTGAAAACTAAAACAAACTTATTATGAGATTAAATATATATTTAACCAAGATAAAAACTTTACATGGAAGCTTATTAGCATTTAGATTACAAAACGCCATCTATTGATTTTATCCATAACTAACTTTTATAGGAGTACTATGTGGGTCTGTATTTTGAATCAATATATATATATATATATA